TTCCCCTGTCATCACTTTCTATAGGGGTCCTTTGAATGTGGCCCCTGGCTGCGGAGCAATAAGACATCCGATATCCAAGTCGCTCAGGATGAGTGCCGAAGAACTGGTGTCAGACGCTGAGGCACAGACACCTCCCTGTTGTTGGGGTGGTTGGAGGTGTTACCTGGTAACACCTTCTGGTGGAGTTTAATGCCAATTAAGTGGCTCCGTTTCCAGAAGACGCTTCTCTCCACCGCGATGACAAAAGCGGCAACATACCTCGACCCAGCTCTGACAGATAACAATCTAATGATGCAAGCTGAATTAAATCGGTCTCGACAACCATATGCAAGTGTGGAACTGGATAATGAGAATGTATTTTAAGGGAGTGATTGAAGCGTCGGCTCAGAGTGGAGAGCACTGACGATGCGGAGTTTGCTCTGAAGCGCATGAACATGTAAAGATCTCCTATTGCTTTTGTATTTTCCTAGCAGTTAGTCACTGTGTTCAGCAGTAAAAACAAAGAATTGAAAAAAGGGTCATTTTTAGATATGACTCATGAGAGTAAACAAAATCACTAAGATCACAGAGAAAACAAAGACAGAGTTAGTGTTTGGCACAGATAAGTGAACGCTTTGATCATAATCATGGCAGCTCTGCGTGACATCCCACTTCTCTTCACCCAAAATGCTGTTGCCTAAGAGGAAGAGTACTTCCTGTATGTGTTCCGATCAACAGGGCCCTTACAGTCCTTGAGGTCTGGTACAATCTATCTTATCTTGTCTAGAGCAACAAAAACTTGGTTTGTTTCACTAGATAACGTTAGCCCTGACTTCCTCTCCTTAGAGCTGTAAACCCTCACTGACCCTTTCATAAGACACTCACACTCCTAATCTCAAAAGGACGACAGCTCTGAATTCACCAAAATACTGAAGGAATGCGCCGCTTAGTTTGAGGAATCAGAAAGCTGCAGGTTTGCCTTTAAGGCCCTGTCGGCGCTTACACGATCATATAGAGTCCATTGTGTGGATAAATGCTACCATTTCACTAAGGCTGGAGGAAAGATGCTAAGTTGGTTAATTACAGAGTTTGTGCAGGAGTAGTAAACCAGTTACAAAGCAAGAGAGAAGGGCTTCAATTAGCTACATTGGAGCTGTATGCTGCGCTGTGAAAACACTGTATGGTAATTCTATCTTTTACCTCCTTTATTGTGCTGATTAGTGCAGTGGGGAGAGGACGGCTGCTCTATCTAATCTGATCACAGAGCATTGTGCTCGGGGTCATTAACCTATGGGAGGCTCTGAGGTTGACAAGTCGGCTCCTACCCCCCTCTACCTTTTTTGATGGAACTCGCTCATCCCTCAGTTCCTCTGTCTCTACAAACAACACAACAGCAACCACAAAAAACAACCAAGGAAAACAAAAGACGAGGGGGAAAAAACAGCCGACGGGGCTATTCGCAAGGCTCGTCATTCTTCCACAAACACAAGGCCCAAATGGCTGCTGGCCGAGGCCCCTGGACTTGCCTAAGCAGCAGGATGTCGGCCCCTTTAGTCTCAGTTGTTGTTGGCCCTTGTCTTTTTCTGCATCCCCGTCCCAAGAGATGAAGGGGTCGACCTGGCCCTCAACATCTGGGATCTGCATTAGAAAAGACTGCATGGCAACCATTCCCTGCTTCATGTCACCGACATCTGCATTCATATGCAGAAAAATCCAACGAGCTCCACCAGTCAAAGCTTTCACTGTCAACCGTTTTGGGCAATTCCACGATGCCTACATTTACATCTCCACAAAAGCACACCAATGAAATCCAACATCCGTCATTATTTACTGAATTATCCTTTTTTCTCTCCTCCATAAGCCCTCTTTCTCCCCCTGTCACACACATTACACCCTTTGCAAATCAAAAATGTGAATTTTCTAGCATAACCAACAGCACCTCTCATCCACAAATCCTAGTTAAACTGTTGTGATAGTGAAAAGCTGCCTGTCAGGATGGCAGAGTGGAGATGAAAGGCCCACAGCAAAGATCTCTGCTGATTGCCTGCAGAGGATGAATATGCAAATAAAGCAGAAGGTACTGTAAATGGAAAAACAAAGCGGGGGTTTTGGCTGCAGCTTTTTATATGCTCCCCTTTATTTGGCACTGGTTAGGAACACGGAAACTCTATCAATAATGAACTCCAGTCAGAGCAAGGAAGGAGACATGAGGGGAAATCAGCCTCCACTTTTCCCCTGTGAGCCCCCGAGCAGTTTTGGGGCCTATTGTATTTCACACAAGCTTTTCAGTGAACACACGCTAAGCTAAAATGACAGATAAACGGAAGATTGAGGGAGATATAATAATATCCATAACACCTAGCGTACATTGCACCACACAGACTTGGGTCTGCATCCAAAAAAGTAAGGCACCACAGCCTGCCCCCATTTATTGAACAAAGCAAGAGCAAAGAAAAATCAATTATCCGGCCGAATGTCTGTCATGAGAGACAACAACTGGGATGAGGACAGGCTGATATAGAACAAGAGCATGTGCACACTCAACAGTTGTTCTGTTGCCACCAGAGCCAAAAGGCACTTTAGCCAGCACTTAGCAAAATCAAGTGGCTTAATATATTTAGCTATCTTCGCAAACACACACACACACACACAACAGAGTAGGAAACAACCTGCCTGTTGTCTAAACACAGTGAAATTGGCCAGACAGAGTGCATCCTTGGGAAAGGAGAGCACCCATCCCATTGAACCAAAGATGAACAGGGCAACAGATTTTCTCCCTGGTCTTGAGATAACAGAAACCCAACACCGCCGTTCTCCAGTGGGACTCTTTGTACGTCTGTGAGAGGGTCAATCAGCAGCCGCTGACAGATGTGTCTGCAGTCGATTTAGGAGAGGAAGGCCCGGTGAGGTCAGGCATAGGTTTCTCTGCTCTGCCCCCCCCCCGGAGGGAAGACAAGACTCAAGTCAGGATGTCCGAGGCTGACCTCTTCTCACCTCGCTGCTTTTGGCTGTACAACACCTGGACTAATATGATACAATTACGCTCATTAACAAGCCAGCAAAACATTACGCTGCAGTGCAGACTCTGTGGCAGAACAGCGATGTAGATAGATCAATAGAAACAGATTTGCCTCCAAATGAACGGCACGCAGGCAGACAATTCACATTTTTCCAGAAATTCTATTGTGTTTCCAACAAAAGTGAGAGCCACTCCAGCTGGAAAGCAAACAAATCCGAAAAAAAAACAACCTCCACTGGAGGTCCAAGTAGTTTTGGCAGATGCTCCAAGCTTAAGTGTCTGTACAATTAGGCACTCCAGTTAAGATGGCAATCATGGTTTAACCGTGTGCCGATGTGTTGAGGCTGGAGTCAGAACGCGCTCGCACCCTGCAACTAACCGGGCACGAGATGTCAGCGGTGGTCAGACACTCAGACAGTCACTCTTGTGTAGTGTGCACCATCCTAATGAGGCGATAACTATTGCTGGGAGTGGAGGTCCACGTCAACTCATGAGCACACAATGAGAGAACAGACCGTCTAAACAGGGACATTAGTTGTGTTGTTTGTTTGTGAGGAAGTTACATTCATGAATGTCATTCTGTTCAATTACTACTTTGCGTGAACTGGGATCATGACAGAATACTTCCAAGTCTGGCTTTTCCATTCACATGTTGTCAGTAAAATATTATTGGGTCTCTAATGGTAGTTCACTGACAACATTTGTTCTTTAGCTTCTCTAACTGTCATTAATTAGAACAAGGCAGCTGCTCTCTCTTGACAAACAGAGAGCCACAGCTCGATATTTCAGCATCCCCAGAATGAGTAAACAGAAATATACTTGTTTACTGAAAATGAATGCAGACCCTCCAGGCATTCACAGCCCAATAGCATAATAGGTTTGAGTTTATTAACAAAAAGTAGTATCTGGTGAATGACATGTAAGAGAGGAGTCTCCACATTACTGTGGAGCTGCACAGAGATCTGATCATTGACCCGCTGGCACCGCCAGGACGTTGGTATATTCAACAACAGAAACAGAGCTGCTCCGCTGCAGCTCAATGCACTGGGCCGTGGTGTCTGCCTTGCCAGGCAGCCGGAGGGGGGGGGACACTGGAGATGACGCTGGGAAGGAGAGAGTGTTGGCTGGGTCAGCTCTGCTTTACAACCCTTTGACTAACGGGGTGACTCACTGCTGCTGTGGGCCTTGAAGGGAGCAGACCTACTGATTTAAACATGAAACCAAAGAGGGTCAAACAGTCAGGCGGGTTCAGGTATGTCGGGACGACTCGCATGTTCATCCTGTAACACTGACACACACACACATGCATGCCATATGTACACATAGGAACATATATTAGGAATTAGCACCATTCTAAATTATTGTTAGAAATTATTCTGGTTCACTGTGAAAACATCATCAAATATTAATTACCTGTCGACGTTTTCACACATAGAGAGGCAAAGTTTCTAATTAGTGTTGTAGATTAGAATTTTTACACTTGCTTGGACAAAATAATTTGAATTTACAATTGTGAAACATTTCTTTCTTGTGTTTAGACACGTACACCATCTAGATAAACACCTGCAACAGAGATAATTGACAAATCATAACATCGGTAATGAAGCCCCTGGTGCCAAAAAAACCTAATCATGAATTATCCTGCCACATCTCAAACAAATATGCAAATTATAATTCAACTACAGCTCACAAAACCACATGCAGCTACAAACAAACCACTACAAGTAAAAGGCTGTGTGTGTGTGTGTGTGTCTGTGTGTCCCTCATTCTCACCAACGTGGACACACATACTGTACATTTCCTCTGACAGTGAGCATTGCTTTCCAACCAGTGACTATTCACTCCTCTTAAGTGCACACGTCTAGGATGCAAGTGCCTTTCTGCTTTCCTCCACTCCCCCTAGTGTATCCATCCAACACTGCATTTCTCCTTTGCACAGAGAGAGAGGGAGAGAGAGCGAGAGAGAGAGAGACCCCTCCTCCAGATGACATCAGTGCTCTATTGAAGCAAGAGGCAAACACAACTCCACATTTGTATTGAGATCTACCCGATGCACCTCCGTCCCTGCACAGCCTACAGATTGTGTATGTGTGTGAGGGGCACCAGTAAACATAGCAGTGCTGCTACAGGTAAACTCTAAATAGCTCTAGCCTCGTGAGCCAGAGGGTTTTTTTGGGATCTGAATTTAAATCCTCATAGCCTGGATTGGATTATTTTTCCCCCGTTGTGAGCCCCAATTTAAGAGGATACCTGTTACTTTCCCTTTTTTGTTTGATTATAGAGGTAAGTGCGTTTTTTGCTGGTACAGTCCTGTTGGGAATGCATCCTTTTCATCTTTTTGGATCTTCTCTCTGGCAGGAGGAATTTAAAGTCATGCGGGATCCTCAGGAGTTGCTTGTATCTTAATTAGTTGCCCTCTCCCCCCCTACCCCATTCTTTATTTTTTAATTCTCGACTCAAAATGGTTCCTCTGATGTGGTTGTGTAGCAAAGCCTTAATATATAGTAAGAAAAGAAATCGCGAGTGCACGTTTCTTCCAAACAACCAAATGGAGCTCCGTTAGTTTACGCACTGCAAGTGGTTCTGCTCAGCTTGGCAGATTTTAAAACATTATTCATGTATCTCGTCATCTCAGCACCTTGCTTGCTGCTCGGCACCCTGTCCGTCTTTAGTCTCACAGAGACCACCAACACCTCGTCTCTGGGGGTTTCTCCCGTTTTTCCAACCTTCCACTGTAGAGACGCATTTCTGGTTGCGACACGCTAAATTTGCTTTTCGGTCACATTCGCACTCCGCCTCAGTAGAACACATTGGTTACAGCATAAAAAATAAAAATAAAAGCACTTCAGAGCAACAGGGGAGTGTAAAATCTTTCCGTTCCTTGTTTCAGCTTTTGATTTCCCTCAACCAGTGGGGAAATAAACGGTGGCAAATACGCAAACTTGATCGGATTATGGGGACTGTGTGATTTTAGTCTCGGCGTCGCAGCCGCTCCGGAGACTCCCCGGTGTACCGCTGAAATTGCAGTGCGGATCCCGCGGAGTTACATGAAGGGGCAGCTGGAGAAACTCCGCTAAATGCGTCTCCATCGTCACTGTCTGGGCCGGCTCTATTCATGCCCCACTCCATTGAAATGTACCGTGGGCAAATGCAAGTTCGTCTGCAGATAATACAGATAATGTCCCCCCCCTAAAAAAAAAAGACCCATCATGCGTTGTGAGCGCTGTAGAGCCTGCTGAATGTAGAGGCGCAGTCATCAAGGTCCCCTGGAAACGCACAAAATAAAAGCTATCTAAGTTGCATACGCACCAGTTCGCACACATGCAGCGGCTCATTTAACGAACATACTGTAACGTTACATTAGCAATGCCGCACAACAACATAAGCATCCAGAAATAAACGCGGTTTGCAGTCAGATACCACCTCCTGCTCATATGGCCGAGTGACAATCTAACGTCAATCTATGGCGCTAATGAATCCAATGCGCTCTCTATTCAAACCTGCTATTTATCCCATTGGATCAATGCAATGAAGCTGCCTTCAGTTCTATGGCACTGTATTTAAGCTGGATGTATTATTGGCAAAACCAGGGCAGGGACAGTTGTTAATCCAATTTAACATTATCTTCATGCAACGATAAGGTCATCCAGGCTTTAAATAATGATTTATACATAATGCTGCAGCCGGATTCCAGTTAATCAATAGCAGACGCAAACTTGACTTCAATTGTCAAGCAATGTAATGGTGGCTCTTTGTTGTTCGGTGTGTTTGAGGGACAAAGAAATAAATAGCCTGTTAAACATAGCAGACATGAGGACAGACCCAATTGTCTTCACTGATGACTGCCTCAGGCAAACGTCCCCAGTCGATTGCTCTCAGAGGGAATTCACACTGCAGATTAACAACTAACCAGGTCACTACAGACACAATCTCACATTGCCAGAAGAGTTAAAGCATAAAATATGAATGACCGTGTGAGGGGGGAAAGTAATAACAGGACTTTTATAACTACCAAGACATATTTCAGATTCAACACTGTGCTCCGAGGAGGCCTAATTCAGTTATTTTCATAATGTATTCAGCCCCAAGCAGTAACCTTTTAACATCTATCCCCAGCTTTAAAAGTCAAATCATTTCATATTGGTTACTTAAAGTAAATGAGTAAGGCACAAATACTGCAGGAAAAACCCTCTGTGAGCGCTGTGACTCTGTAAACTGCACATGGGCCAGTAGGGAGGTTAACAAATCTCAGTATTGTAGGAAGGTGTCGGGCCTGTGCCGAGATGGGCTCCCTTAACATGAGTATTCAATGTTTTGGTGTTTGCTTGTCACATGCAGACACACACACACACATTTCATCTTGCAGTGCCTACCACCCCCATGTGGGGAAAAACCACTGCAGCTGCTATAGATCTCTCCTTTCAGGCCGTTACAAAAGAGAGACCCCCGTCCATCCAAGGCCTCAAAACTATCATCTGGCCAGCCCGTCTAAAGGCAGCGGCAGGAGGCCACGTCCCAAATCTGTGAAACTATCGAGAGATTCTGGCCCATTTGCTCTTCGGCTGAAACGTGTCCTGTGTCCCTGTGAATTCAGATGTGACCATGAATGTTCCATTGTGTGTCGGCACCACAGCAGGCCGCTGCCCGGTGTTGTGACACGCAACTCACTAATATGGGACTCAATGGCAGACCTAAGGCTTCACTTGGCACATTTCAAAAACACGCCTCGTTTAAGAGCAGAAAATCATGAATGAAAAAGAAATACAACAAAATACAAATGAACACTATATCTTGCTTTCGCATCAGGTTCGCTTCAACTGCCCTTAACCATAATAAGTACATTTATTTGCATGATCACACGACCATGAATAATTCATATTTTCTAGTTTTAACTTGCAAAACTACGCTGCAAATCAAAAACCATTTTCATGACCAAAATCTAAAAATACTAAAAATATAACCCACAATAACAATATTGTGTGCCATCAATCATAACTCAAAACTATATTATGAATTAGAATAAATAATCAGCAGCGGATACAAACATTGATTTCCCAATGGAGAGCTCTACTGTGGTTCAAAATTAATTTCAGGGCTCATGAATAATTTAACAGGCAGCCATTGCTTCTTCTACAGCTCTTCCCCCCCTAAATGAAGCCTATGTCATATGTTTCTGTATTTCACTAAAAGTCATTATAACCCCGCAACACTTTTGACAGGCAAGAAATTGTTTCTATTCGAGGTTTTGCAAAGCCTTTCTTGTGCAGTGCATGACTAGGGGGCACAAAGTCCTGGGCTCTGTTATTGCAGACTAAAGTGCATTTATGCGTGTTGAGCTCACAATGGCTATCAGTGTCCAGCTTTGTGCAAGCCTCCCACGCTCTCCACTGAAAGGTAACTAGCTGTACACACACACACACACACACACACACACACAGACACAATTTTACCAGGATGCTCAATTGAACTTTGCCAGTTCGGATTAAATGAAGCAGAAGTCACTTTGACTGCTACAGAAATCCCCTGTCGGCCGGCGGAGCTTATTAGAGCGATGGCGAAAGACATCCATCACTAAGAATGTTTAACTCGGCCTCCGGTGCCCTAAAAATGATTGTGTTTCCATGTACGTAGCGTGTGTGCGAGTGAGTACACTTGCGTGTGTTTACATTAATAGTAAATGCAAAAGAAAAGGCTTCCAAAATGGACAGTATGAAGTAGAGAGGCATTTTTTAATTGCCTGAATGAAATGTTTTAATAGCTGAACCCCCTCTGTTGAGGCTACACGGTCCACATGCTTGCCTGGTGGTGAACAATGGAGAGGGGCCACTCTCCTGAAATCCGATGAGCGTGGAAAAAGAAAAGGGAGCGGAAAAAAAAAACAACACACAGCCGAGCACCTAGGCCTGACTAGGCTCTTCGTAAGAGTAAGCATGATTACTTCAAAGCAGACGTCTGATAAATCACCCACAATACAACATCACACCGAGGCCGAGGATACATTGTGTTTTTGCGCCGACTATATTTACACCAGTGGTCATAAAAGAATGACCACGCACTTGCCCTTTGTACTGGACACTGAGCCCCGTTCTGTTATCTCAGCAGGGAACAGACTTGTAATCGCCATAGAAAGTTGGACTGACTAGAAAGGTTGCACCGTCTCATATATGTGGCTTTTTATGCAGAGAATCCTCCCGTCTCACAAGCTTAAAAGCCTCTCCTTCCAAGTGAAGATGAGTCTTGCTGGGTTCTTAATGAGACAGAAATGCTGTAATTTGAAATGCTACGATTTTAGTATTCAAATCAGGACTACATACTTAACGTTATTCAGAGGCGGGAGAACTTTACAAAATGGGGTGAAAAGGGCCATTTAAAATTGAAATAGCTTGACTAAGAGCTGCAATAAAAGTCCATTCCAACAGACAGACAGCACATATCCCTCTATCATCTCTCCATTTTGTAAAACTCGATTACTGAATTTCATCTGGGTTTTTTTTACCACTCGTCAGACTCTTTTATTCCAGAAGTTAGTGGAGGTCACATCTGGTGCTTTTCCCCCAGACTCTAATCTACAAGTAATGTAATAGTGGACAAGGGGGCCGTGTTTAGATTGAACAGAAGGAAGGGGTGGCGTTATTATTAGCCGGCATCTCAGGAGTTGTAATCGAGTTTCAAGCCTCTCAGTTCCCTAATCTTCTCCTTGTCAAGGGCTACAACTGTTAAATGGCCGGGCCCCTTGTTCCTAATTTACCTTTACATGTTTTACAGCAAACACGGGTGGCCAGCGGGCCACATGAATGGTCACATATAAAGGACACAAAGCCATTGTGTTGTAAGAGGAAACATAACATTTTGTTTGGCAGAGCGAATTCTATTTTTACAAACAGAAGCAGCATTCATAGAGGATGGGGTGGGGGTGAGGGGTCACAGAGAGAGAGCTGGGAGTGACAAGGATGGATGCAGCGGCCATCCTCTTCTCCATACAAAACACAAATCGGCCTCGTTTGTCATGGCTGCTTTTTATCAATGCAAGCAATTCATTAAGAATTGACTGGATCCATTTTTCCTCTCGTTTCTGAACTTACACAGGAGTTCTCTTGTAAAACACCAGACGCTCAGCCAAGCAGTGAACTGGACTGAGAAAGGCACAGGGACTCAACCCTCAGCCATTGTGTTGGGGTCTAGATCACTGTTGTCTTTCGTATGCATAGACATTCTTTCTTGTATCACCATAGAAAAGAAACGTGGTGTGTTAGAGTAACGGGCTGTAAAATGTCAACAGGCTAAATGATAGGCGGGAAGAAAGGGTATTTCTAATTAACAATTCACAATGTGAGGGAGGTTAGAGTTCAGTATCAAACGCATTCCTAAACTTAATTAGATTTCCTCAGTATCAACATACGGTTTCATTCTAAAATCCTGAAATGAGGACCTTAAATGTAAAGGGGCGTAGAGAGTGATGTATTTTAGAATTTCTACAAGATTAAAAGGGGAAATAATGAAGAAAAAACAAGGTATAAATAACACAATCATGCTCAATGAATGTCTTTTTATTCACTCTCTTTCTGCCTGATAATCAAGACATTGTTTTGTACTGACTGAATGTGGGCACTAAGTATGTTTGTCTCTTGTTATTTTTCAGAGCACCATCACAGGTGTGAGGAGGGCACGTACGAGTCAAGCTGCAGAAGCGTGAGGGAGTCCGGGTCCAGAAGGATAAGCACCGTGCCCCGTTTTTCTCCATAAAGGAAAGGAGAACATTGGTTATCTGCTTCAGGGAAAGGGACCAAAGCCCTGGATTAATGTGTATACAGGCTCAACAAGGGAGCAGAGGATTCTGGGTTACCTGAAGACCTGGAGTACACGAGTGAACAGGCCCGTATTGAGCCTGTGGCACAGGGGATTGGCATGGCTCAGACCAGCTTTGTGTCGACTCATCATGCCTGTCAGGCTTGATTGCAGAAAGGAGCCTTCATCCTACACGCGGAACACTATACAACAACCAACAAATCTCATTTGCAGTTATGGCTGTTGAGCTCAACCGCAGTTAGGATTTTTAATATTGCCTGCGAGCTCATGTTTTGTCAGTGAGAGGGGATGCTTTTTTCGACAGGCTTATCTGCCATGGTGAAGGCATTGAAGGCATGAGCCTCTGACTACACAGAGGAGGTCATCGTCCAAACAAGCATCAGCTCAGCAAACACTGACCAGGTCAGGATATCACCAGAAACCCCTCGGACAAACTTTTCCCTTTCAGAAAGGATAAGAACAGTTTCAAGAGGAAATCTTGATTGGATTTTCGGTGGCTGGAACGGATTTACCACATCGTATAAATCAGGTATGACGAATACGGATTGCTTTGCTTTTTTCCACTTCACTGACCAGACCACAATTTCTAATGAGACATGCAGGAAGAGAGGTCATGGCAGGAATGCATAATTAAAGCAATAAATCAGTATTAGCCTAATTAAAAGGGGAACTACACATCAATAGTGGAAAAAAAATAGACAGACGAGCAGTTGGCACATTCTGCTGTGCGTCACGGTTTTGTTAATATCAAGTTTATGTACTGTAAAATTGAATCTTTTTTTTATTAGATATATTTGAAACATACCACATTTTCTGTGGAAGGATAGATGAAGCTCACAAATGTAATCTTGTGACCTCAGATAAACCTGACCCTCTTGGATCTAAACGTGCTAAAGACTTTTATCAAACCTCTTTTCTGTGAGGAGAGATATTCCTTCCATCCCTTGTAAGAGCCCAGTTAAACCACAGAATTTGAACGGCGGAAAGGCATGGGCAACGATCTAACAGGATTTAAAGAGTATGTCAGTTCCACAACATCTCATCAACAAAGCCTGACTTTGTTCACTCTCGTGGTCTGTAGCGATGTAAGGCAGCCTTGAGATTCAGAAAATGTGTAAAACAACGAAGGGATGCTATTACATTTCACAAGTCAGGGCCAAAGAGCCGAGTCACAGAGATTCAATTCACAAAGCTCAGAAGTTAAACATTGTTTCTAATGCAGGTTGCTTTTTAAACGTTTAATCCAAGAAATGTACAGATGACGTAAAGCAAGCTCTGAAGCAAACAGTTTACTGTCGGGGAAAAAAAAAATGTCTCACTCTTATTTTTACTGTCTGGCACTCCTAATGATCAATTCATATACATTTAATAGGAGGATTTCAAACTGATTTTTTCATCAGTTATTTAATCTAGAAAAGTGCTGCAGGCAGCATTTCAAACACCCAGCAATTATGAGAACAGGAATTTGGCTCTCCTTTAAAGGCCTTGTGCATTAAATGTACCCTTGTGTCTTCTCCCCAGGGGCTGTTGAGTGATTAGACGGCAAGGCAACACAGCTTCAAGATGGTGCGTCAATGCCAGACCTTTATCCTCTTCCTCACCAGGGTAGGACTGCTGCTGGGTCTAGCTAACCCCCTGGTGACCTCTGCCTCGTGTCCCTCCGCCTGCCGCTGTGATGGGACCTTCATCTACTGTAATGACCGTGGCCTGACTTCCATTCCTACTGGTCTGCCCCTGGATTCTACGGTGCTCTTTCTGCAAAACAATCGCATCAGGAGCTCAGGCATTCCTGCAGAGCTCCGCAGGCTGTCAAATGTGGAGAAGATCTACCTTTACTGCAACAATCTGGATGAGTTCCCCACCAACCTTCCTCTTGGGCTGAAAGAGCTCCACCTTCAGGAGAACAACGTTCGGATGATTACCCACGACTCTTTAGCTCAAATCCCCTACATTGAGGAACTTCACCTGGATGATAACTCGGTATCTGCAGTCAGCATTGAGGAGGGGGCCTTTAGAGACAGCAATCACCTCAGACTGCTGTTTCTCTCCAGAAACCACCTAAGTACGATCCCTTCAGGCCTACCCATGAGCATTGAGGAGCTGCGCTTTGATGACAACCGCATCTCCACCATTACAGAGCAGTCGCTGCAAGATCTCATCAACCTGAAGCGACTGATCCTGGATGGTAACCTGCTCAACAACCGTGGGATTGGAGAGATGGCTCTCATAAACCTGATCAACCTGACTGAGCTCTCACTAATGAGGAACTCCTTGACATCGCCGCCAGCCAACTTGCCGGGCAACAGTTTGGAGAAGCTGCAGCTACAAGATAATCACATTAATCGGGTCCCACCTGGGGCTTTCGCCTTCCTTAGGCAGCTGTATCGCCTGGACCTGTCTGGCAACAACCTGAGCAGCCTCCCGCAGGGTGTGTTTGAAGATCTGGACAACCTCACACAGCTCCTGCTACGCAACAACCCCTGGCAGTGCACATGCAGGATGAAATGGGTGCGGGACTGGCTGCGATCGTTGCCGTCTAAGGTGAATGTGCGTGGCTTCATGTGCCAGGGTCCTGATAAGGTCAAAGGCATGGCAATTAAAGACCTAACTACAGACATGTTTGACTGCACAGATGGAGAACTCCCCACTTATGAGACGAGCACAGTCTCCAACACCATGCGCCCCACACAGCCCCAGTGGCCCTTGTTTGTGACTAAAAGGCCTGTGGTAAAAGGGCCCGACTTTGGTAGGAAGTACCACAGCACGACCACCTCTTCGGGCAGAAAGATCATCACCATCAGTGTGAAGTCAAGTAGTGCAAATGCAATACACATATCATGGAGGGTGTCGCAGCCCATGACTGCCCTGCGGCTCAGCTGGCTGAAGCTGGGTCACAGCCCAGCATTCGGCTCCATCACTGAGACCATCGTGCAGGGGGAGAGGAAGGAGTACCTGCTCACGGAACTGGAGCAAGAGTCTTCCTATAGGATATGCATGGTTCCCATGGAGACCAGCAACATTTACCTGTCAGATGAGACCCCTGTTTGCATCGAGACAGAGACTGGTTCCCACAAATCATACAACCCGACTACAACGTTAAACAGAGAGCAGGAGAAAGAGCCTTACAAAAATTCCAGTCTGCCTTTGGCTGCTATCATTGGAGGGGCTGTGGCTCTTTTGGCAATAATCATGTTGGCACTGGTGTGTTGGTACGTCCACAGGAACGGGTCACTTTTTTCCAGAAACTGCACCTACAACAAAGGCCGTCGGAGAAAGGACGACTATGCTGAGGCTGGCACGAAGAAGGACACCTCCATCCTCGAAATACGAGAGACTTCTTTTCAAATGATACCCATAAATCACCTGCCCGTGTCCAAGGAGGAATTTGTGATACACACGATTTTCCCACCGAATGGCCTGACTTTATACAAAAGCCCACATAACGAGAACAGTATCAGCAACAGGAGCTACAGAGACAGTGGAATACCAGATTCAGACCATTCCCATTCATGATATTGCGCATGGCCATTCGTGATGAGTGCGTGACATAAACAGAGTGGCAAGACTTTTACAAAACACTGGATCTATCAGACTAAGGAAGCAATGTTCTGTACATTTGCCATATAATTTATATTTAAGGACATTTTATGAGGACGAAGGACGTTCCAGTTGCAGGACATCACTGAACCATCAGTGGGTATTGTAACTAACTGCAATTCTATATTTTAGGAATTTGTAGTAATTTGTACTGTATTTCCTTTGCTTAAGGTTATCGACCAACTAAAAGAAACTCTGTGTTCTACTGAGATATGATGACTTGTCAACTGTGAAAGTGGGTTTTCATTGCTGTGTTGAACAATCAGACCTTAGAAAACCTTGTAGTATAAGCACAGGTCATTATTTTAACTTTGTGGCTGTCTGAAAAACAAAAAGGCAAAAAAATGACATGAAGTAAACCAAGGCACAGCTGATCGACTAATTCGCAAAGCAGGCATGTTGCCCTCGAAAAAGAACGAGCAGTCAGTAGCTGTCTCCACACAATGCGGACCAAGAGTCTGACTGTAGTATTCACCTGGTTGGAGTACGAGTAACTAAAGATGAGGTGCCATGCTTTATTTCTCTGCTTTGTTTGATGTGTGATTTTTCTTTCCGTTTTGCAAGAAGAGGAAACACAGCAAAGCCACCCGAGCAGGGTTCCAGTGTTTCCGATAGGATTGTAGACCACAGCACAGGGCAGATAAAGCACACCGACCTTAAGGAGCCCTCTGCTCCTCAAAAACAAGTAGACTGGACAGGCTGACACAGAGGACCCCCCCACTAGCTCTATTTGTACAAGCCAACAATGGCCAAACGACAATGGCGGCATTCTTTAGTACCATGTACCATACGTCATTCTAGTCACCAGGCCGAAAAGACAAAACACGATAGCTTCCATTAGAATTACCACAGTGTCGGCAACTCCTTGTTATGAGTATTATTTTGTATTATTTTCCAAATGAACACACCGTTATGTTTCCACAATTTGAAGTTAACTGTTCTTAACAATTGAAAACCAAAGTGCATTGTATGCCCTTTGGCCAGTCTTGTATGTGCCTTGATCCAATGCTTATTGTATTTAGCTTTTTAAGAAACCAGTGACTTTTTTTCATACACACTTGAATATGAAAAATATTGGTCATATTACAGAATAAAAGTGGACAAAAATAACTTTGCTCTTCCTTACCTTGAGTACAACAAACCTCACTCAAAACAATTTTAATTGTTCTGTTAAATCACTATCATCCCATCATGCTTTGCTGTGATTGCTCAATTTATTTTTCTCTGCTCATGCAAATTATATCTTTGTAGAAATGTGAACTGCCCTGGAGTAAAAAAGACGGCTACAGGGAACATGTTTTATTCATTCACGTCTCAAAATACTGTCTAGGCGCTGGAAAACATTAGAAAAACATAACCTACTGCATTTTTATCCTTCTCAACGATCTGAACTCTCAGGTCTTAAGTTCATAGCCTTTAACCCACATCTCTCCTTTCAAGACACTGTGAACTCTTTTACAATAACCGAGATACTGTTCTTGAAACCCAGTTTTCCACTCCATGGGCAGTCTGCAGAGCAACATCTGCTCGAGGCTGCTGTTGTTCTTTCGTGCGGTGAAGCCATGTGTGACTTATCCGATTGGCCAGAGAGAGAAATGTCACAGCAGAGTAGAAGTAGGCTGTGGAGAGATTGGACTCTAGGGTTTGATGAACCTCCCAGGCACCAGGGCAACAGAAAACTAACGACGAGGCACCATATGGAGGGTGGTACGGGCAGACCCTGATGGGGACAAAGTATATATACACACTGCTCCGGGCTTCAGGAAGCACACTTAATGACATGGCTGCAGCTCACCCCGGCAAGGGCCCATGAAAGGTACACATGCAAAAGCAGTAAAATAGCCTGTTAGCCCATTTTACAAATGCATCCAACAGAACATCTTTTGACAGCTAGCACAAAGTTAATGCATTTCAGATTATACACACTAGACTCTAGCACTGACCGTACTCCCACACAAAAGCATAAGTATTCAGTGTGTATCACAAAAAATATGGCAGACCCACATTCACACACCCACAAGCTCTTAACATAGGGGAAAGCTTTAATTACAGTAAGGGCAGCCGCTAAAAGCTGCACACGCTATCCAAACCTTAAGTATACACTAAGCCTGCCCTGTACACTAAATATATATATCACATTCACTTGAAATCAAAGTAAACAGACGGTCTATTTTTAGAATACTGAATGATAACAGTTTCCATATGAACTCTGTCAATAGTTTCTTGTTCTTTGACTGTTCAGGCTTAGTCCTATTTTATCTGAGTAAAGTAAAGAGAAAACTAAATGATAAAACCTTGGAATGTTGGTAATTTTTCTTTTATTACTCCGTAGTGAACAAAGCCTCTTCATCAGAGGTAACAGTTATCACACTTTTTATGGTGGCATTCTACAGACACATAAAATAAACAGAATGTGCTATGATGTGTTTTCAGGTAAATTACTGAACAAAAAGACGCACCGTTTTCTCACTGCTATTAACGGCCTTCACAGCATCACATTCTCGCTGAATGAGAGAACCTCTTAAAGTGGTTCAAGTGTTCGTTTTGAACCAGAGAAGGCGAAACTAATTGTACCGATGAGATCACTGCAAATTCTTCAGCTAGAACAGCATTTGTTTTATGTTATTGATGAGCTTTTGAGATTTAGTTAATTACTCACATGGGTTTGTAGTGACTGAAGTATGCAGACAATGAGCAAACTGCTCTCACATTTTCACTCACCTGTGTGATAAGTTACAGTTTAGCCAAATGGTGAGAGGAGCGAGCTATTGTTGCGACTTTCACTAGAAATAACACATTAACCAGAGCAGCTTTGTGCAGTTCGGCTGACCAAAGTATGAGACAAAATTGATGAACCAGACTGCCAGAGACCCCGTGCGACCTCACTTATCACTCATGACCCTTGACCCATCTGTCCCTTTAAACAGTTATTTAATCACTCTCATGTTCTCACCGAGGTCAGACAGGTCTTCAAACAACACAAGATGTCACATGCATTTGTCTCCTGTGTGACACACTCAGAACCTAATTATGTCTGTTTTGTAACCCAGAGATTGGAACTAATGGCGGCAGCTGCACTGTCTGCCCCGGGCCTATTGTAATGTACTGGTCAGCCCGTCGGTCACATTTGCATTCCTATAGATGCTCATATCACAGCACCCCTGGATGACCCCACCGCTGCCAATAGCTGAGCATGGGTCTTCTCAGTCAACACCATTAGCATGATCAAAAAAAAAGAAAGAAAAGCACAGGCCTTGTGACCCTAAAACTGATTAGAGGTCAGTGAGTTACGGTCACACTCAGTTCAAGGACCACAGGATATGAAAAATGGATGCATATCAATACCCCCAAAACACAGCCAGTCATCAGGGTCTCTGATAGGCAACCTGTCCACCAAATGGATGCTTAGCTCAGGAGGAACCCCCCGGCTTTCATTACAGGCCATTCTAAGCAGGGACGCCAGAAATGATGGGCAAAAACACTAGGAAGAAAAGGTCAGCTGTTTAGCTAATGGCTTAATTGTCCTCAAAAGCATATAAAGGCTCTCAGCGTAAGGTTAAGCCAATGAGTTGATACAAAAGAGGACCCATTTGAGTTATTTTGATTTGGTGTATCAACATGATTAGGCATTCTCAGTGAAGGCGCCTTAAACTAACCGTACTAAATCAGAGAGCCTGCTCGGATTTGACACAAAGGAAAAAATGAAACACCAGCAATGTGTTGAGGAATTATTAAAGTTGAATATTATCGTCTCATATGACTAAATGGTCATAATGTGGAGAAAAAGTCTCCTTTTGTTCTAAAAAAGTGTCTACCACAGAATAAGAACACCTTGTTTTTAAACTCTTGTAAAAAAAACAAAAACCTGCTTCATCAACACAGACTAAAATGCCCAAAACAACTGCTCACTCAAAACAAAAATAAAAGGGGCGCTTGCTGTTCCCTCTCCCTCACATCCTGTTGCACACAGCTTGCACATCAAACAGAGCCACGATTTAATGGCCTCTAAATGCTGAGCAGAGTCGTGCTGAGGTCAGAAGCCAAACCGAGGCTCGGGGCCTCCCACAAAGTCTGCACCATTGCCAATGAGTTAAATTTGCATATACTGTGTGTGCGTTTGTGTGTAGAAGGGATACAAAAATGTGACTGTTCTGAATGCTCTGATGTAAAGCATTTGCTCTCTACATTTATCCTCTGCCACAGTGCTTATAGTTTGTTCACATAGTTCTGAATCAAATCCCATTTCTCATTCAAATGTGCCGTTATGAATGCAGACATGCTCGCGAGCGTCTAGGTGGGGTCCCCGAGGTACATGCTAATGAGAGTCTGTGATTGGAGAGGGAGCCTCAAAGACCTCTCAAAGAGACTTCTGACTGATCGTGTACATTTTGCAACGAACAAAAGGGAGGTGGGAGCCGACAGCCTGAGGGGACAGGATGTTTTTGATATTGAAGCCATCTTCATCACTCATTCGTGATGACATTTGACAACGAGAGGCTCGTGCTAACCCGTGAAAACGTCTACATGTAATTATGAAGGTTATAGAGGCTATGACTACTTGCCCTGTCATGTGAACACGTACACGTTGGTCACACATCTAATTAACACAAACGCAATTATGCACGCAAGCAGAATAACAAGAATACCCCCCCCCCCCCCTCCTCCTCACAGTGGTCCCGAGACTGCCTTATGACTTTGTTGCTCTCAGTCACAAGTGCAGTCTGCTCTGGCTGTAAAAGAGAGGAGCAGCCTAAAACATTGAGTCAGTTGAGAGATGTATCAGTGTGAGTGATGTGCTCCAGTGTGGGGGTGTTGTCCCCACCACTCTGTCTCTGACTGGCTCCCCCCCTCCCATCCTCCAGGCCAAGACCCTCTCCATCTCCTCACATTACTCAGTGACCTGAAACCACGGGGCCAAAAAACCTAACCGGCTCCTCCGTCTTCTTAATGAATCCAATTTTTTGCCTGAGAGCACAAGGCGTGGCCATACATCCATCGCAACTCTAAATTATGTGACATTAATATAAATTAACAGGAGCCACCGCCATCAAGACTGTGCCGCCCCACCACGGGCGGACGGTGACAACACATCTATATCGCTGCATGAAGACAGCCACTATTTTGTACCCCAAAATACAGAGTCAATAATCTCATTTAAAACTAAAACAAAAGCAGAGAGGCTGATCGGTGTCCGTGCCATTACACTATGAATTATACACAATGTGTTATGAAAATATCCATATAATTGACTCTGCTCTATGGCAGCCATTAATTCCTGTCCTCCATTAAGTGGTTTAAATGATCTTGTAAGAGGCCATACATCTCCTGATGCCCTTTATGAGATCAACACCACGTCCCCCTTAGAACTTAATCGACCCTCAGTCCCATTTGTCCATGAAGTCTGATGCAGGGGAATAATTATTTCATTCCTAAAGGTTCTGAGGGATCCAACTTGTCCATTACCCCCAGCAGATCTGCAGCAGGGAGGCCAGGGCTCCTCTTTGATCCATTATCTTCTCTCCTTTATGTTCAGCCAGCTTTAAAACGTCAGTACAATATTTGCATGCCAATGTGCATCCGTCTGCAGCTCATTATTTTCAGATGTTGACAGCCTAATCGCGTGCATGCTTAGTCCACTTTGCTAACACAACGCTTGCTACAACCAAGTCGTACTGAACAGCAAGCCGAGGTTTGTCTCTGCAGTGTTTGCCTGCAGTGGTCTTGTTGACTTTCCGAGGGGGGGAAACACAGAAAACGCAGCACCCTCGCATAGTCAGCTAATCAGTAATGACAGGAAACGATCCACCGTCTTAACCAAGTCTACTGAATAACGTCGATGTAAGAAGAAGGTCAATGTAAACGATATCAATTACATTCGGAGGCTTCGATTCTCCCGCTCATACGCCTGACTTTGTCCTCCCAAGATGTTTTGAAGAAGAAGGCCGAGCACAACTCCACCTCAGCGGGTCTGATATCACCCTGTTGACAGTTTGACCTTCAGGCCAGAGCTCGGCCCATCTCTCCGGAGAAGTTTGTGAGTCTCCTCGTTCACTCACACAGCAGCTCCTCCGCGCCTCTGCCGCGAACACGCAGACATTTGCTCAAGGGTAGCAATGTTTTGGTAATTCTCCAAGAGGTGCGGAATTCGGCAGCGTCAGCATCTTTTAGGATCGTAAATACAACCTGTCACCATTCATCACGGCACTGGGAGGAAAGCGCGAACACCACAAGGCATCATTATTTCACTGTCCTCAAGCACCTTGACATGAGGTCACCGTGGTGCAGCAAAGAGGTAACATCCCCGACCCGCAAGCCAAACCACCAAGAAGGGTTAACAACATTTCATGTGGACTTGGTGTACTCGCACAGCTTCAGTCGGCTCCAGAACTCTTTGAGACAGAGTTGGTGGAGCTGACATGGCAGCGTTTGAACACGTGCATGCAGTTAGTGGGCTGTCTCCCGCTTTCAGAAGTGTGGAAAAGTGACAGCGCCGTCGTCCTGTAACTATACAAGTTATGCACACAACGCTGCAGCGGGCTGAGAGACTGCAGTTAGAGAAATCCCCCCCACCGCAACATCCAAACACACACAGAGTGAAACACACGGGGAAAAAAGTTAAGAGGAAATAGTTGGGGGGAGAAGCCACCAATTGGGCAGAGCAGGGTGGTGGGATGTGGGATTAATTAAAAGCTGCTCTGTCACTGTGGTGTGCTGGTGACACACAGCCACACGATTACTGAGATCTCTGTGTGAGAGGAATCTGCTCCCACAACTCATTTCCTCCCCATAGAGGGGGGAGCAAAATGGGACCGTCTGTTGTACACAATACAAAGAAAGAGACACTCATTTTTCATTTAAAGGAATTTGAGAAGCCAAAAAGGAAGGAAAGGGCAGTGGGGAAGGGGGGGAGAAGGATGAGGAGAAATGATTTTGTTTTTGAATAAAAGCCTGCTCAATCTATTTCAATCGAGTGGTACACTGGGCTGGTGGGAGGGAGAGGTCAGAGGATCTAAGCCACTGTAATCCCGAGCTTGCCACTGCTTAAAACCTGCTCAAGTTAACATGCTGATGTGCGTGTCTATAGACACTGTGACACTCAGGCGGCTTAAACTAACAGCTGGCAATGCGACCATATCTAACTTTCCACTTATTTCTTGGGATGCTTAGTAATCCCTTTGTTGCGACCAATATACCGAACACAACTAATCTAGCGCTGGAATGGTAAGTCAACATTTTTGAGAATGGAATAATAATTGAAGTCATTTATTAAATCAAGAAGATCAAATATTCCCTGGTTCCAGCATCTGAAATGTCACGCTTTGCCGCTTTCACTCTTTTCTGTCGTATCGCGGTCAAACAAAACGAGCTATTTGAGGATGCTGCCTGGGTCGCTGGCAGGTTTTTAATCATCGCTCAATAGTCGCTGCCTTATATTCATCCACAGCATAAACTATACATTAAATAAGTCTAAAATGAAGCCACGCAAACATGGAAATCAAATATTTAATGATAATGTTGAGTCAAGAAGTAAAAAAAAAAAAAGCCCATGAAAGAATATAGAAATGAAGTTCTAATTTAGGATTTATCCTTCTTTCTCAAGTTATTCCAACGTGTTTTCAACTGCTGACAAACAAGCTGTCAAATGGTTCATGGAGCTGTAGCTTTAGGATGGTGAGCATTATAAGGACAATCATACATTGCTGAAATATTCACGTTATTGTGCAGGAAACGTTGCAGCAGCACATGATGCTTTGGTAACCAGAGCTTGGTTGTCTTGCTCTTGTTTGCGTTCGATTCGAGCGCTAATGTTGGCACTTTTTGAAGATTTTACTTGTGGATTCAGTGAATGCATCTATAGCCAGGTTATAATAAAAATGTCTTGAGAAATTCTGAAAGACATCCCAGACATTCTTAGTGTTGTGAGAGTGAGACATACAGCAAGCAGGTCGGGGTGCTAAAGGTTACACCCCCAGCCACAGATGTCATTAACAGCAATTCTTATTAAAGGTGAGAGCTATGGTGAGAGCAGGATACTGTAGACGAGGACGACAGCAATGGGGCTTATTAATTCACACTTCACTATTACTGTCGGCAGAGAGATGTGAATACACTGTGGAAGTTCGGGAAATAGTTATGTGCATACCTGATCTCAGTTTGGCATCCGTTTCATCAGGGGAAATAATCACACTCAATAAATGATATCCACTTTTTCCCCCCCACTTGTGAGACTGTTCCCCTTAAACCAGAGATTGTACTCACCTCACAAATTAAAGCTCTTCAGGAGTCGGAAGAAAACTTAATACAAGCAGGAGCTTTAAGGCTACTAATCACTCATCTCTTTTAATATGCAGACATTTCACTTAAACAAAAACTTGGGCCGGGGAGGAAAGTTTCCATTTTCAGAAAACACTGCTGGGAATGCTGGCAGGCCCATTCTTCATTATCTAATTATGCTGGATTATTATTAGCTAGAGACACAACTGATGGAGAAGACATACATTGATGGAAGTAGTGCACTAATGAAATCAGGAGATGCCAGGAAAGGCATGCTGAGCCGATGATGGTAATGTAGAGGGATTCTACTGTGTGGTGCAGAGGCCAACCAAAAGCCTAGCGCATCGATGGAAAATACAAGAAAAACTAAAATAAGTACTTTTTTTGGTTGTTGTTTTTTTTGCAAGGGACAATGCTGAGCTTGAGGCAGACATACTCTGTATACATACATCTGTCTGTCTACCACGTACGTATTCCTCGGTGTTTCAGGCCAGCAGCATACGGCCAAGTGTTCCCAGATTGTTGCTAATGTGACAAGGGTGATGGCTTTTGTGTGGAGTCACCAGAAGTTGTCAATGGCACAACGAGCTTGGTCATCAATCACCCGGTCGCCTGGTTGTGTGTGCGCCTGACACGAGGGCAGGGTCGCAATGGGAGGGGGCGGAGCCCTGTAACATGGACTGTCGCCCCAGGAGCCCCGATGGACTTGAATGAAGAGGTCCCGCACATTCATAGTTACCAGGTCACTAATCAAATCATGTCGATAGCCGGGGATAGCACACGGGACAACAGAATTCATTTAGCATCCCCTCACCTCTATTGTCTGTTTGCCAGGGCATCACTGGGGTCTGGGATAAATAAGTAACCCCCTTTTCTTCTCAAATGATTTGAATCCCTTCAAATGAATAGCGTGCCTTGTGAGAGAGGCATGAATTAAACCACAATGAGAGTCGGTAATTTGGACCTTCTGACGAGATAGTTGTCACTGCAAGAAAAAACTATGCAAATGCAAATCATCAGCATGAGCCAGATGGCCATGGTTTTGGGCAAATTCACTTAGTCAGGCATAAGTAATGTCCCACATCACAAATATGGCCAGAGAATTATTGTACAACACATTGGAAAAAAAGAAAAGGGGGGCTGCTGAGGTGAGAAACTGTCCATCCATCACTAGAGGTGATCATTTGGTTATAGGTCCCATGAGGTGACTAAACACAACAACCTGGCACTATGTCCGAAAGGACCGTGTGGGCGCGTGTGTGTCATTCATGCATACACCACAGCCCCAAGGGGTTCCAGTGCCTTTGCAGTGTAGCATTTTAATTAATCCTGTGATGACAGAGCAGATCTGG